GGGGGCACCCTCAGTTCCCCGCAGAGACAGACAATGGAGGGGTCTGAATGATCTGCAACCAAGCAGCCCGGACTCCATCCTGACCTCCCCCTGCGCGGACAGGAGCAACAGGCCCCTCCTCCCTGACTCTAAGCCCTTTCCGGTGAGGTGAGGCAGGGCCTGGGGAGCTCTTCGTTGGGGTAGATGTGGTGGTTCGAATAAAAAGTCATGCAAAGAAAAAAAAAGGAATTACAGATCAGTATAAAAAACTAAGAAAGCATTTATGTTTTGAGATGCAAGTAAGTCCAAGACATATTGTTAAGTAAAAACAGCTAACTAAAGAGTGTCAACAATGAACATACAAGTGTTGCTTGTGCTTATCCAAAATATCCCTAAGAAACAAGAAACTGCTGCCATGGTGGCCTCTGGAATAGCCTCTGCGCTGCGTGAACAGGGACATAACATTTTCAGGTTCTCCAGTGTCCCACCGACCATGCAAGGAAAAAACCTGACTCCTGCGCTCGACTGAACTGGACCCGGCCTGCTTTTCAACCCCAGCAAGGCGCGGGCACCGAGAGCTCGTCTCCGCCCCCGGCGCCGCCCGCCCCGACTCACCCCCGCGGCTGCCAGCCCGCCCTGCCGAACCAAGAGGCCCACTCACCTGCCGGGCCCCAGGGCCCGAAGGCGGAAAGAGCAGGCCGAGCCCACCGGGCCATGTCCTAGCTCCTCTGTCGCCCGCTCGTGACCTTGTCCCCAAAGGCCAGGAGTCCGCCGCTGCGCGCCCCGCCGCGTCGCGCGAGCCCAGGTTGGGGTGGACGCCAGGTGGGGGCGGCTTCCTAGCCCCTTGGGGTCCCGCCTCTCGCCCTGAAGACCAAACCAGTAGCCGGCATTTCTCTCTCCTGCTTTCCCACCGTTTTCAAGAGAGACGGTGATGCGAGCACTTTGCGAGCACTTACTACGTCCAGTCATCCCATTTTAACTCAGTCCTCGCCAGACACTATTAAGAAGCGGCTATTATCATGGTCCCCCGTTGAGATGAGAGCCTGCAGGTCACAAAGGCCGAGGCCACAAAGCCAGTCGAGGGCCGGGCCGACTCCCGGCCCTCGCACTGTTGAATGGCACGGCCAACTGCGCCGTAAATCGGGTACAAAGCCTGGACAGAATTTCTTCGGAGGCACAGGCGCAGTTACCCTGACAACCAGCGGGCGCCGCGGGCCGCCGGGGCGCTCCCGGCCTGCCCCGCGCGACGCGGCGCCGGAAGTGAGTGAGCATTTCCGGCGGCCGTCCCCGCGGTGCGGAGCCCTCTACAGTACAGCTGCCCCAGGGTCTTCTTGCCGTCATGAAGGACGTTCCTGGCTTCTTACAGCAGAGCCAGAGCTCCGGGCCCGGCCAGGCCGCCGTGTGGCACCGCCTGGAGGAGCTCTACACGAAGAAGTGAGCGCCCAGCCGAGGGGCCCCGGGCCCCAGTGGTGGGAGAGTGAGGCCGAGAGGGGGCGGCGGGGGAGGGGCGGGACGTTGATGGGCCGAGGGTGCTCAGCCCCGCGCGCGGAGAGGTGCGCTGAGGAGGGAGAGGGGGTGACAGCCCACGGGGACTGAGGAGCAGAGCCGTGGGCAGAGCTTGGGGGCCTAGGGTTGACTGCCATCCCGACCGAGGGGCTGTGACTGAGGTTCCGAATTCCCCTGGTATTACGAAAAGGGGTCAGGGCTTTAAAGGACGTTCGCTCTTGATTCCAGTCGAACAAGCGAACACCCTTTCAGAGGTCTGGCTGCCATGCATTTTTGAATAGCAGATCCTGGTGTCTTAGCCTTGGCATCGCGTGGCTGCATCTACGCCATCTTTTCTCAGCGGCCTGGAGCGGATAAACCAGAGCCGAGTGCAGTTTTGTTTTTTCCCCTGTTGATTCTGCAGCTGGTTACACACTGGGTTTCACCCACGGCTCCCCCTCCCACGGACCCTACTTTCCATTACATTTCATATTGGGCTTTGTACTCCTGAGATCTCAGGGTTTGGGCTTATTTAGAAACATGATGAATTTTATAACAAATTGTCTGTTGCTAAGCACCAACCTCTTTTTAAATGAATAGAGTAAGTTGCTAGCATTATGTGTTGCTAGCATTACCTTCCATAGGAAAGTACACCTCCTGGAATAACTTCCCTGTTAACAACCCTAGCGTTCAGCATTGTGCCTTTTACATAGAAAATGAATACTTTTTTGGATGATGTTCAGCAGCCTTCTATTAGCGTTATTTGCATTCTTAAAAATTAAACTTTGGTTTCAAATGTACTGTCATTTTTCTAGAGGGCTTATTCCTTTGCCCATTTAATCCTTTATTCGTCCCATTTACAGCGGAGGAAACAAGCTCACTTTAAGCTTCTTCCCTGAGATACTCAGCTAATAAGTAGAAGAGCCAGGATTTCAACTTAGATATGTGTGATTCCAAATTCTTGGTTTCAATCAGACCTCACAGTAACTCTTGAGGTACTCTAAAAAGGTGTCCTCCAGGATGGCATACCATTGAATAGCAGAGCCAGGAAAAGAGCTCAGGTTTATTAGCGTCTGCTTTCGCTTTCTTCCTGTTACACAGTAGGAACTGGCTACTATTTGTTATTTGATAGGACCACCAAGGCTGGTGGTGTCTGTGACTGGATATTAGTTTATAGGTCTTAAGGGCCTTATGTTTTTCAGGTTGTGGCATCAACTGACTCTCCAGGTGCTTGATTTTGTGCAGGACCCATGCTTTGCCCAAGGAGATGGCCTCATTAAGGTAAATGATTTGCCATGCTAGGTCAGATTATATAAATATAAATGACTTTTAAAGATAGTAGGTGGGCTTTTTATTAATACACGATACCTACTCAGCCGTCAGTATGTCAGGTACTGTTCTAAGGGTCTTGTATATTTACTCATTTACTCTTTACAGCAACATTGGGAGATAAGCACTACTGTTATCCTATTCATTTGATGTAGAAGTTAACACCAAGAGATTGAGTAACTTGCCGTGGACCACAGCTAATAGGTGGTAGAAGAAGCTTCAAATACAGTCTGGCTTCTTCTGAAATCCCTGCCTAAAATCCTGTCTTACAGCAGAGGATGCCCTGTATCTTATCGTTCATAGACTTTTTTTTCAGTACTGTACTTTTGGAAACTGTTATTCAAAATTGAAAGTGCAAAATCAGTGGGGGTGGGGGTAGGATGTAGTGGAAGATAAGATAACCATAGGAATCTTATAGATAACCGTTATCACCACTCTTCCTTCACTCCCACTGATTCTGCTTACTTGCCCAAATGCTTTGTCTTGGGTAGTGTGGAAAATAGGGCCTCTTTTGTGCTTCACTTGGAGGTGGGGAGGTTTGGAGAGAGAAATCTTCTGTAGTAGAGCACTTTTAGAATTTTTGTTAACAGAGGGGGAAAAAGTTCTCTGCCCCAGCCTTCCCTACGCTCCGTAGCAAACCCCCACCAATTTGTTCACTGGTAGCTTCCTTTTTAAAATCTTTCTTGACATCTTACTCTTTGATGCCTTTCTCTCTCAGATTCTGAATGAATCAGAGATTTATACCTGCATTGGAACCAAAAACTAGTTCTTTTTTTTTTTAATATTATTATTATTATTATTTTAGATTTTATTTATTTATTTGACAGAGAGAGACACAGCGAGAGAGGGAACGCAAGCAGGGGGAGTGGGAGAGGGAGAAGCAGGCTTCCCGCGGAGCAGGGAGCCAGATGTGGGGCTCGATCCCAGGATCCTGGGATCATGACCTGAGCCGAAGGCAGACGCTTAACGACTGAGCCACCCAGGTGCCCCAAAAACTAGTTCTTGATAGCTTGAGTTATTTGCCCTGGGTACATTACTTTATATGTGCTCACAGTGAAGCTTATCACCTTATTACCCCACCACCTGGGATCCTAAGATTTTCTTGTGTTTTATACCCACCAGTTTGACATTTCACTACTTCAAAGGAACTTGTATTCATCTGTAAACCTAAAGATTTTGCTGGGCATTCTGTCTTCTGGATTATGTGGAAAAATGATAAATTAGAGCTATCTTCATATTTTTCCCTAAGGTTCTATATCATAGCGATGAATAATTCATGATTATTCATCTCTATTCTTTGCTCTCTTGTCTTTAAATCACTTTCTACACAGAGCAAAATATTACCTCAACCCCATGTAACGTAACACTTAACTCAGGTCAGCAGACTGGCGTTTACTGTTTCAGTGGGCGAGCAAACCTTTAAAAATTGTTGGGACTCAGCCCACAGAACTTTCAAATACATAGTGTTCATGAATCTGCTGTGACCAGTAGTAATTTTGAGTTTCTTTTTTCTTTGGAGGGGTTTTTACATAAATTGTAATGGATATCAGAAAAGTTAGAATACCCCCTTAATGAAAAGGATATCTTTGAAATAGTCCTTTGTAATGAAAAAGCCATTTTATTTATTTTTTTTTAAGATTTTATTTATTTATTTGAGAGAGAGAGAATGAGAGATAGAGAGCACGAGAGGGAAGAGGGTCAGGGGGAGAAGCAGACTCCCCGCCGAGCAGGGAGCCCGATGTGGGACTCGATCCCGGGACCTGAGCCGAAGGCAGTCGCTTAACCAACTGAGCCACCCAGGCGCCCAAAGCCATTTTATTTAGATTGCTCTCTGCTGGGTGCCAGATTTATCTTTCTTAAAGATTTTTATTTATGTATTTGACAGAGAGAGAGAGAGCACAAGCAGGGGGAGTGGCAGGCAGAGGGAGAAGCAGACTCCCCGCTGAGCAGGGAGTTCAGTCCTAGGACCCTGGCATCGGGACCCCAGCCGAAGGCAGACGCCTAACTGACTGAGCCACCCAGGCACCCCATGCTGGGTGCCAGATTTAAATCACTAACTGAATACCCTCCCCCCAGTTTTACTGAGAAATAATTGACGTATAATACTGTATTAGTTTAAGGTGTACAATGTAATGGCTTGGTATATGTGTATGTGCAAATTGATCACAGTAAGTCTAGTTAACATCCATCTCACGGTTATGCTTTTTTTTCTTCTCGCGATGACAGCTTTTATGATTTGCTCTCTTAGTAACTTTCAAATATACAGCACAGTATTGTTAACTGTAGTCACTGTGCTGTACATTCTGTCTCCAGGACTTAATTATCTTATGACTGGACATTTTGTACCTTCAGCCATTTCTTGCACCCCTCAACCCCTGCCTCTGACAACCACCAATCTGTTCTCTGTTATCTGTGAGTTCAGTTTTTTTAGATTTCACGTAGAAGTGAATCATACAGTATTTGTCTTTCTTTGTCTAACTTATTTCACTAAGCAAAACGCCCTCCGGTTTCATCCATGTTGTCACAAATGGCAGGATTTCCTTCGTTTTTTTTAAGTTTTTTTTATTTATTTGACAGAAACACAGCGAGAGAGGGAACACAAGCAGGGGGAGTGGGAGAGGGAGAAGCAGGCTTCCTGCCGAGCAGGGAGCCCGATGCGGGGCTCGATCCCAGGACCCTGGGATCATGACCTGAGCCGAAGGCAGACGCTTAACGACCGAGCCACCCAGGCGCCCCAGGATTTCCTTCTTTTTATGGCTGAATAACATCCTACACTCTGTGTGCATATGCACCACCTTTTCTTTCACAGGGACGTTTCCATCTTTCTGTCTTCACATCCCAGAGGAATCACAGACTCTCCTTATCCAAGTTGACCCCATCTGGATGCTCCCTCTCCCCACTTTGCCCAGTTACCCAGCGATAAGCTCAGAGGTCATTGTCAGTTCCCATTTCCTTTCCTGTGACCAGCGAACCTCTCAGACCCTTCGTCTACCCTCACTTTCCTGTCTTTACTAGTAGCCTCAGCTGGTCTCTGTCCCTCCCTCTGTTCCCTCTCTATCCTCCCTGCCCCCAGTCAAGCTTACAAAGTAGAAGTGTGGCCATGTGTTTGCACTGGCTCTGGTTTGCCTTCAGGACAAGGTCAAGCGCCAGTGCCTCCCACGGTCTGTGTCCTTCAGAAATGCTCCTAAAACACAGTGCAGTGTTTCTTCAGTGCTCTTGCACATGTCTGTTCCTGTCTGGAATGTTCTCCCAGCTCTATACTCCCTCTCCCATACCAAATTTGTCCAGCTCTCTAACGTTCTTCCTTCCTTAAAACTCAATTATCACCATTTCTGGAATAGTCCTTGGAACCTCTCCTTTTGGCTGATCCACCCATGTGTTTTTTTTCCTCACTGTAAACACACAGTATTGTCACTTACTTGTTTACAAGTCTGCTCTACTAGACCAGGAATCCTTGCAAGCCCAGCTTTTATTTTATACATTCTCTGTCTGTAGTACCTAGCAAAGAGCCCGAGTACGTACTGAAGTGTTTGCTGAATGGCAGATAAATTTGGTAATGTAGGCTACAACCCTCTAAAATCTGAAGGTTAGTGAATCTTTCAAACTGATAATCTGTTTTACCTAAAATACTTTGGAGAAAAATAGGAATTGGTCTCTAGGAGATTCTTACAGGTCAGGAATCTAATTCCCAGGAAGAAAACCATAGCTTTCTTCAGTAATCCATTGGTGATTAATAAACCCAAATATGGGTCTCATGTCATTCTGCCAACATTTCTGCAGTGCCTGCTCTGTGGTGGGCATTGTGGTCACTTTTGATTTTGCAAAATGAAAGATATCCTGTAATTACTCTGTGTGTTTTGGTTCCACAGCTTTATGAAAACTTCATCAGTGAATTTGAACACAGGTAAAACACCTTTGTCAGTTTTTGACTTTGAACATGAAAACATAGATGCTTAATGACACTCAAAGACTGGTGGTTTTTATTTCAGGGTGAATCCTTTGTCCCTGGTAGAAATCATTCTTCATGTAGTTAGACAGATGACTGGTGAGTCTCATTTTGTGTCATAAAGGAGCAGATCCAAATGGTAATTAAAATGATTTTGAAATATAAGTTAATTGAACTTTTACATTTTGATAGAAAATGCCAGATTCTAAGTTAAGTTTTTATTATATTTTATGATCTAAACATAAAGATTATCCTACCTGTATTGTGGTTGGTAGGAACCAATCTCTAAAGATACTCTGTTGGTGGTTCTTCTGACATTGTTCTTCTGCCGTTTCTAGATCCTAATGTGGCTCTTACTTTTCTGGAAAAGACTCGTGAAAAGGTAAATATGAAGTCTGAGCCAAATCTTTAGAATGTGCATGACTTATGGTTTTGCGTCTGCGCTTGCTGTACACACTTTGTGGAGACCAGCGTATCTCTTATCCTGTAAGTGAAGCCAGTATGCAGGTGTTTTGTTCATCTCCTGCCCACACTTCTCAGGTCCCCTTGTTTCTGACATCTGTAGGTGAAAAGCAGCGATGAGGCAGTGATTCTGTGTAAAACTGCGATTGGAGCTCTAAAATTAAACATCGGGGACCTACAGGTCACAAAGGTAAGCGTGCCATAGTACAGGTTTGTCTTTGGTTTACAAAGTGGTTTAGGGTTAAGGGGGGAGAATCCTATTTCTCCAGTTTACTTTTTCAAGTGATTTTAAATTATAGAAAAGTTGCAGATGTAGCACGAAGAACTCTCATATATCCTCTCTCACACTCCCATTGCTGACATTTCTTAGCCCCATCATTCTGTGTGTATGCGTGTGTGCATGCATGCAAGTTTTGGTTTTGGTTTTCAAAATCACCGAGAGTCACTTGCTGCTATGAGGCCTGTTATCCTTTAATATAAGAGGACTGCCCTGGGCAAGCACAGCACGTCTGTCAGCAGGAGGGTTCCAGACAGCCCCAGACTGTCCATATGGGCCCTCACTGACCAGGGTCAGCCCACTCACCATGACAGGTCACAGGCTGCTCCTCCACCCTCTCTACCTCCTAATCCTTGTTGAAGTTTCCTGTCTCTTTCTTATTTCCACTTTAGTATAATTTGGGGGACAGATGTGGGTATGGATGGCAGTAAGACCAACTTATGTGGTCAGTCCACCTTGTTGAACCAGAGACTATCTGTGTTTGTTTTGGGTTTGGGTTTTTTGGTAACCATAATATTTAAGAAAATACTGGGGTAAGTGTTGATGTTCTCATTGCCCTAAAATAACACTTCTTATTTCTTATTGCTTCCCAGTCCTATCCTGCATGCATACTTACTACATTTTGCTTTGAAATGTTTAAGACATTGAAAGCCATAAAACACTATAAAGAATTCTGTCATGGGTGTCCACGTACCCCCCCCCGGCTTAGGAATGAGGCAGCACTGCACAGTTGGAGCTGCTGGGCCCTCAGAGCATGTTCGTGCACCAGCAGTGCTCCCGTGCGTCTGTTTGGTGTTCCTCGTGCTTGTGTGGTTCCTGATGCTCACTAGATAGGGATGTGTAAGTCTAAGTGATAATGCAGTATTGTTTTAAGTTACTGGCTTGGTGTGAGGTTTGAGAGTCATCATGTTGGTACCTGTGACCATTCATTCTTAGTGTTATTTGGTATTTTACTGTTACAGCTGTTTCACAGCCTATGCATCAGTCTCCTATTGAAGGGATTCAGGATTTTTTCCTATTACGAACAGTGCTGTTAGTTATCATTATTTCTGTGCCTGGTTCCTTGTGTATGTGGGCAGAATCTCACCAGCACATGTGCCTGGAGGTGAGGCTACAGGTATAAGGTGTATGCTCTACGCCTTTACCAGATGTGGTCAAACCTTTCTCCAAGATGGCTCACGCTCCCCTAGCACCATACAAGCACTTCCAAAGCTCATTTCTTCAATACTTGGTATTTTCAGACTATTTAATTCTTGCCAGTGTGGTGGAGATGAAATGCCATCTCATTGGGGATTTATTGACCCCTCCATTCATGTCTCCACTTCTGTAAATTGCCTGTTAATATCTTTGGTTTTGCCCTTTCTTTTCTGTGTTGCTTTCCTCCTGTTGATTTGTAAGAGTTCTTTATATAGGGGCGCCTGGGTGGCTAAGTCATTAAGCATCTGCCTTCAGCTGAGGTCATGATCCCAGTGTCCTGGGATCAAATCCCGCATTGGGCTCCCTGCTTGGGAGGAAGCCTGCTTCTCCCTCTGCCACTCTCCCTGTTTGTGTTCCTGCTCTTACTATCTCTCTCTCTCTCTGTCAGATAAATAAATAAATAAAATCTTTGGAGAGAAAAAAAAGAGTTCTTTATATAGTGTTGGTCATACTCCCTGGTGGGTTACATGTGCAGTAAATTTCTTTGCCCAGTCTGTAGCTTGTTTTTGTTCTTTTTTGTGTGTGTCTTAGATGAACTGAAGTTTTCCATTTTAACATAGTCCTATCAGTCTTTGTCATATATTTCCTTAAAAGTGCTTTAAGTTAAAAAGAAGGGCGATCTTGCTTCCTGCATGTAGGAAACAATTGAAGATGTTGAAGAGATGCTCAGCAACCTCCCTGGTGTGACATCAGTTCACAGTCGTTTCTACGACCTCTCCAGTAAATATTATCAAACAGTCGGAAACCACGCGGCCTACTACAAAGATGCCCTGCGATTTCTGGGCTGTGTCGACATCAAGGATCTACCAGGTAACACGGAGCCATTAAAGTGCATGTCGAAGGAGCATGCTCTTGAGGCATGGTAGCAGGTCTCAGAAGTTACTCTGGTGTATCCATCCCTCGTTGAAGAAACCCCAGGTGGTAGAGGGTGGAAAGAGCCGTGCAAGCATCAGTTTCTCCCCGGGTCTGCCTTCGGCATTTAGCTCAGGTGAAAACAAGGCTGCACCCTGTAGTCCTTCGCTGTTCCCTCTCTAGTCTTTCCTGTTCTCTGAATCAGAGGCCTTTGTGAGAAGCACAGCGATGTCACTGTCTTGGCCCCTGCAGCATGAAGGGCACGGTGAAACCCTGCACTGAGAATCTTGTTCCGGAAACTGAGCAAGACCCAGGGGAATACCTTAGAAAAATCTTTCAAGTATCTGAGGAATGGAAAGAAAGATGAATGATAGTTTTGGGGAAAGTGCAAGGAGGGTGTTTAGAAAGGAAATATGAACCCATTTTAGATGTTTCTCACAGTACACTGTTGAAGCTCTGGGGACCAGCAACTCCTAAAAATGGTGCAGTTTGAGTTCCTTCGTCTCAAGAAGCACATTGGAAAAGCAAGCAACGTGGTCAGGAGAGTGGGATTGTTGTAGGGACAGGAAGTAGGTTCACTCTATTCTGAAAAGAGGCCAGATGAGTTGACTTTAAGAGAAATAAGAGGTGATGCTTCCAGGAAGTAGATTAACTGCTTTAGAAAATAGAAATGGAGTCATGTATTTAGGCAGAAATAAGTAAACGAATGAATGTGTTTCCCACAGAACCTGTATATGTGCTTCGAGGTATAACTTGAGTTGATCCAGTACTGTAAAAGAGAGGACTAACGGGGCACCCGAGTGGCTCAGTCGGTTAAGCATCGGATGCTGGGTTTTGGCTCAGGTCATGACCTCAGGGTCGGGGGATCGAGCCCCACATCGGGCTCCGCGCGGAACATGGGGCCTGCTTGAGGTTCTTTCTCCCTCTGCCCCTCCCCACCTTCCCTCTCTAAAAGACAAAATACGTAAAATAAAAATAAAAAAGATAAAAATTAAAAAAAAAAGAAACGTGTTAAGGCTTTGTGATATAACCATTACAGGGAGTGGTTTCTTTACTTTTTTGGGATTTTTAAAGGCAGACAGGACTGATTCTCATAACTGGGGTGTCACCGGAGGTGTGTTGTTGCCGTAGTGTCTGAGCAGCAGGAGAGAGCGTTCACGCTGGGACTAGCAGGACTTCTTGGCGAGGGAGTTTTTAACTTTGGAGAACTCGTAAGTGGACCCTGGGCACAGATTTCTGAACAAGGGGGAGACATTTTTTTTGCCAGCTAACCATCTCCTCCTTGCAGCTCATGCACCCTGTGCTGGAATCACTGAGGAGCACCGACCGGCAGTGGCTGATTGACACCCTTTATGCGTTTAACAGTGGCAACGTAGAGAGATTCCAGACACTGAAAACCGCCTGGGGCCAGCAGGTCAGTCATGGGAAGGACGGCTGAGCGCTCCTACAGTGCCCCTGGCTCTCTGTCATCCTGCGTCCATTCATTGATTTAACGCATGTTTTCCGTGCACCTTCCCTCTACACCCCAGGCACTGGGGAGATAGGAGATAAAGACAGGCCGGTCTTGCTCTCATAGAGCAGGTGGTTAAGTGGCTAGTTACGGTAGTAACTCAGTTACTATGATAGTGCTCAGTGCTATACTAACAGAATATGATAGGGGAGTGTCATCTGGGTGACGGGTGTCACAGAGGACCCAAAAGGAGTAATGCTCTGTGTCTGCTCTTAGGTGTGAGTATATTTTAACCAAGTGAAGGATATGAGAAGAGTATATTCAACAGGGGAGAGGAAGCTTTTAGCATGTTGCTGAACTGAAATAGGGTCTGTGAGGCCAGATTGAGTGAGTGACGAGAGCCGGGGAGAGCCTGGGGTTCGGGAAGGCAGGATAGTCTGTACAGGAAGGGAGTGGTCAGTGCGGGGGGCGGAGGGGATGGACAGTGTAGAGGGAAAGGGGTCAGCAGGGGAGAGGGCACTGGGCTAGGAGAGGAGCCTCTAGGAGGTGTGAATTAGGGAGAAGAGGTGTTAACGAGGACCTGAGCTTTCATAGTAAGTTTATTTTTTAAATGAAATTATTAGAAGCAAATATTACTAAATTGTTCATAGTGATAGGGATGATTGTTTTTGTACTTTTCAAAATAAACTTGTAGAATTCACACATAGTGGAGCCAAGTAGATGTAAATGGTCTGGGAAGAGGCAGAAAACAAGACCAGCCAACCCTAACTATAGTCTGTGTGTTGATCTCTGAAAGAAACAAATGTGCCACTTGGAAAGAAAGTTGGCTAGCTGTAGAAACATAAGGAAAGAAAGAACATCAGAGGTGCCTTGCCAGCAGTATCTGTCTAAGCAGCGAGAGCCCATTTGGGGGGAGTGGGCTCTTTGTGAAGAGTTTGACCTGTCCCATACCTGTGGCAGAAACGTCCCTGGGGGACTGCCTGTGTTGGGGTATGAGTTCCTAAATGTTTGAATCAGGGAACCCATTCTCCCTTTTTGTCTCTGCTTAGCAGTAACCCGTGACCTACCTGCAAGGCGACTGTGCAGGTCATGCAGAAGGGCATGTTCTGGTTCTCACGACAGTGCTGTTTTTCATCACAAGTTAATAACTTGCTCTTTCAGTTCAGAACAACTCCCTGGGACTTAAGGAATGTGTTCCTCAGAGGCCCCACTTACACGGAGCTGACCAAGCAGGCAGTGCACTTGGACCTGCTCAGGCACAGACGGGTCCTTCCTTGCTTTTCTTTGTGCCAAGAGTCTCCTTGAAACGCCTGCACCTGGGTCCTACCCCCTGGTGTCTGTGGCATTAGTATGCATCTCACCTGGTAAATGCCTTATGTGGGAGCATAGCCTTTTGGGGATGCACCAGTTAATAGTGTTCTAAGAAAAGTGAGCCTCCGTGACCCTATGGTGTAAGGTGTTTGGACGTGCCAAGTTTCTTTTCGTTCGATCTGTTGTAGAAAGAATTTGAAAGCCCAGGTTAGGTAACTGGTATCTTTCTACTTTTCAGCCTGATTTAGCAGCCAACGAAGCCCAGCTTCTGAGGAAAATTCAGTTGTTGTGCCTCATGGAGGTAAGCAAGCACCCAGGAACCACTCTGATTTCAGACCCTGCAGGTGAGCCCATGAGGTCCTGCAAACTCTCCAAGCCTCCTGTAGGGATACTTTGGCCACACCCCCTCTCTACCACCTTCCTTTTTCTTCTGCCACCATTGGCTTTTTTCCGTTTGTATTTGAGTCTCATCTTAGATAATGCCTCCTCTGAGAGGTATTCCCTGACCGTCTGAGCTAAAGTAGCTGCCACCTCATTATATGTGCCATTTGACATATGTTCTTCTGTGTTTCCCGACTAGAATTTAAGCTTCTTGAGGAAATGGACCTTACATTTCTGTGCCACCACGCTGTTCCCAGCTCAAGTACAGCCCTGGCACACAGCAGCCTCAAGCACTTGCTCAGGGCATGAATACTGACCATTGCCAACAACTGCTGTGAAGCTTATTTCACCTTATTATCTGAGCATGGGAAGCTTGTTCCCAATAAGATACATGGCTGATATTAAGGAAAAGTTTAGTATGTGGGATAGTAATAAGATCTGTATTTTCAGAGCAAGAATTGACAAAAACATTCTATCAGTCAGTTCTCTGGCAATTTTTATTTGGAAAAATAGTTAACAAAAAATTTTTTTTCAGATGACTTTCACACGACCTGCCAATCACAGACAACTCACTTTTGAAGAAATTGCCAAAAGTGCTAAAATCACTGTGAACGAGGTACAGTTGTTGGACTCAGGATGGTCCGGTGGTAGAGCTGCCACCCAGAGGGGTCGGAGCTCCTATAAACACTGCTCCCCAGACTCCACAAACCACAGAAGACACTGTCTCATTCCCCCAAACTTTAGGGCCTTGGGGTGACTCACATCAGCCCCTCTTTGAGCAGGTGGAGTTGCTGGTGATGAAGGCGCTCTCGGTGGGTCTGGTGAAAGGCAGCATTGACGAGGTGGATAAGCGGGTACACATGACCTGGGTGCAGCCCCGAGTGTTGGATCTGCAGCAGGTAACACATAGTTCACTTCTGTGGGTGGTTCGGATGGTATCTGTGCTTAGTTTCACTTGGATGGAAGCCATTTAGGAAGAAAGCAGTATTGACGAGAGATTTCAGAGAATATTTTACTGCTGTGGGGACTAAGGGTTTTTTAAAGAACCTAATTTAATACAAGCCTGGGGTTTGAACCTTGCATTTAAAAGCTTATCATAATTACAGTGCTGGTTGTGCTGATGATGCCTTTTAATCTTAAAATTGGTACTCTGATCAAATATGTTCCTAGTTCTGTGGTTTGAGCTCAGATCCATCTTGTCCGTATTTGCTGGAAATGTAATCCTGTGGATTTCCTCTATTCTTACCTGTTTTCTTTCATGCAAGTTTTTTTTAAATGTCCTTGCGATAAGAATTGACTGGGATGATCCCCTTTCACACAGTTCACTCCCCCAGCTCTGGTGTCCTTTTTATTAGTGCTGCCCTAAAGAATTAGCTGGAGATGTACGCCTGGGATTCCCAAGTGTCCTAACACCCGTGTGGTCCTGGTTTGCCTCAGATCAAGGGAATGAAGGACCGCCTGGAGTTCTGGTGCACCGATGTGAGGGGCATGGAGATGCTGGTGGAGCACCAGGCCCACGATATCCTCACCTAGAGCCCCCTGCCTCACCCGTGTGTGGCAGCTGAGAAGATCTGCATTTAATTGGGGGTGGGGGTGGGATTCTGTTTGTGGAGTAGGGACTGTTCTTCCTGCTGTGAAAACAGAACGGTCACTGATGGGGGGCTTGGCCGCAGAGAGAAACCTCCTTTGTGGGTGTCTCCCGTAGCCCACAGTGGGGAGGGGTCACGGGTCTCTGGTGACGAGGCGGGCAAGAGTGTGCATGTGCCCTGAGGAATGAGAAGGAGTAGCCTTGAGGTGTGTGGGGACACCACTTGGAGGCTCGTCTCCATTACATCCACCTGTGTGAACAGCTCTGGTGTCATATGAGAATGTTCCTGTAATAAACGCCTTTGTTTTGTCCTTTTTGTGGTCCTGTTTCCTTAGTCTTAGCTTCCAGGTCAAGCCTGGGCCTAAGAGATTAGAAAGCAGGAGATGGGAGGTAGGGCTTGGTGGGGGTTTGGCCTCAGCCCTCCTTTCCTACCCTGGGAAAAGGGCAGCCCTGCACATACAGGGCACGGGTCCAAGGAAGCAAGTCTTATCTGTTGTGGCTCAGACATGGTGTCCACCCACTACCACCCAGCCAGGGCCATCCGGGGCCCCGGTGCCCCAGCCAGCAGCCCTCAGCCCAGTGCTGAGTGTCCGGGGGGGGGGGGGTGCTTGTACACAAATGACACAACCACCAAGTGAACACTGGGTGGAGGGAGGGGTTTAATGGGGCCGTTGGCCCTGTGCCTGGAGCCCAAGCTGCGGAGCCTTCATGCTGCAGAGCTTCTCTTGTAGCTGTCCAGGTGGGCTAAGACCCAGCCTGCAGGAATCAGGAAGCTGAGGAACAGCACAGAGAGCCCAGTGGCTTGCTCCTGGGTTGAGGAAAGCACATGTGAGTCCACCAGACCATTACCAGGTCATTCCTGGCTCACTGAGGAAGGCTGTCTACCTGCCCCTCTGTCCCCTCGTCCTGCGGTGTGGGAGGCCTTCTAACCAGAGCAGCAGTCCAGAGTTAGAGACATCCTGCCCTGCCCCCTCTGCTCTTATGGGACCCTCAGCCCAGCCCCAGACTTCTTTTTTGTCAGGTGGAAAGAGCCTGCAATGCACGAGCAGGGGCTGCTGTAGTCATCAGTGCAGACAGCCTCTACAGAGACCCAGACCAGCAGCCCTGGGCCCCAGGCTCTGTGGAACAGGACCTCTTATCATGGCCTGGGCAGGCCACGTGTCCCTCGACCTTGAACTTCTGACCAGACGCAACATGTGCCCTCCCTTCCAGATACTGGCAGACGTGTGTGTCAGGTGCTGTGCAGGACAAAGACACAGCTGAGATTCGGGTCCCACAAACAAGGGCAGGGCCTTTTCCCTAAATGGCGGTCCTGCTCAGAAGCCTGGCTGGAGGAAATAGGACTCCTCACACTGCGCGTGCATTTGTGTGCATGCACACACAAAGCACGCAAAGGCCATCTCACCTGGAGCCAGGTTCCAAAGAACCAGCTATACATCCCCTTCACTCGGATTCCTCCTGAAACAGAGCCCCGGGCCCAGTCATCCCTCCCTGTTCTCTAAAACAGAGTCCAATGCCAGGTCGGAAACCAATTCTTCCTCTTGACTTGGCCTTCTAGCGGATTCGGAGTAACATTGCCCAGAACTGGGCCCCTAGGCTGGGTTCAAATCTTAGCTTCACCGGTGATATGACCTTGAACAAATGACCTTGTAGACCTTGGTTATGGATTCTTAACACAGAGGTAGTTGTCTGCTCTCCTGGAGCGCGAGGGTGACAGGTCTGTGTTTTTGCCTGTGCTCTCACGGACCCTCAAAGCAGCCCATTCTTTCCCTTCAATGAGCGGCGAAGCTGGAATATACACTGAGTGCCCTTCAGGCTCAGCTGTTAGCACCCCTCATTTGCCAGAAGGCAAATGGGGGCCTGAAAACAGAGAGACCACCATCCCCTCACTGACTCTGCTGGATGCTTTGGGAGCCTGACCTCCAGGCAATGAATGCAAGGACCTCTTTCCTGGAGGAGGGACAGTGTCCCAGCCATAGGACTGCATTCTTGCACAAGGATCACCTCTAGAGGCTGCAGGCCTGAGAATATATTCCTCCCCGCCTTTACCAGCCTGGCCTTCTGTATGCTGCCCCCAAACCCACCTCATCTTCTGCACTCTGCAGGACTGCCCACTCCCCCTGCTCAAGTCAGCACTCCTGTGGCACCAGAGGTACTCACCATGGGAGAAGTGGGCGTCCGGGCTGGCTTGGCAGAGATGTGCACCTTGGGAACCACCCAGCCCCTCAGAGGGGCCTGCAGCAGCCTGGTGGTACAGGCTAATCTCAGCATGGTAGTTGAGCCGAGCTCCTCCTGGAGTCCAGCAAAGTTCGTGTATCTGCTCACTCGGGTGTTGGGGCTTTTTATAGCTCAAGGAGGGGAGCTGCAGCTGTCCCCTCTTGTCATGGTGCTTGGCAGAGAGGACGCCCCCTTGGAAGTGGGTGAGAGCCAGCCTCAGGCCAGCAGCCTCCAGGCACTGTCCCTGCTGTAGCACCCGAGGGCCTTCGAGCCCTTCGCAGTGCAGGCAGGCTTGGCCCTCTCTTCAAAGGGCCTTCATTTCTCTGTGAAAAATGCACTCAACAAAGAAGCAGTACCAGGGGAGTCAGAGAGTTTGAGAATGCAGGAGGGGGAAAGTGACCTAAGTTAAGAGTGAATCTTAAGTATCTGGAGTGTCAGCTGGCGATGCCGCGTAGAGCTATTTTAAAATTCTCTAACTTAGGAATTCCTGGCTGAGCTGCCCAGCCTTCCGATTCTTAACACCCAGCTGGGTGTTCTCAGAGCCCCGCTCCTCCCAGGCGCAGCACGTGGTGAGTCTGAAGAGCCTCCCTGCTGATTTCAGCGGTGCTGTTGCTAACACTGACACGACAGCCTTAGTTCCCAGAGGAGACCCTCACGATTGCACCGTGGACAAACTGAGGTGGGAAGAAGGTCAGCAGACACTTCGTGAGTGCGAGTTCAGGGGCCAGGGGGCACTTAGGCCCCTGCCTCTGGGCCCACATTCGGGTAAAGGCTCCCAGGGCCAAATGTGCTGGGTCCACGGTACCCACCAGACCTGGGGTAATCAGCCTGTAACCTGCCCACATGCCATGTGTGAGCTCAGAGCCTCCCTGCCTCTCTTCTCTTATTTCTACAGAAAATGAGTCACTCATTTCTTCCCACAGCAAACATCTACTAGTACATTTGTTTTCCTGCTCTCTGAGAGACTATTTCACACCTTCTCTCTGTACCAACAACCCCCTACACATACACACACACCTTCGTCAGAGGCCTGCTGCTGATTTCCTTGAGATAATGGAAGTGACCAGATGTGACCCACTGTTGACCCCAGTTACTGTCCTCCAGGAGCGCAGCGACCCTGAGCCCCTGGGGTGAGTCAGATGCCAAGCTCAAGTCCCCAGCAGCTTCTCCAGCCCCTCTGTCCTTGGTCACTGGGTAACGAGCCCCTGGTCTTCTTTCCAGCTTGTCCAGACCTCTTTTGGCCGTGACAGCCCAGCTGCTTATCAATCATGATATTTAGGATGTACTGATGCTGACCCTTATCCCCACCTTTGGTGGAGTTCCCAAGGCCCTGCAGTGTGTCCCCCTGCTCTTTCCCTTCCCAGCTGCTCAGGTCAAATGTCTGAGCAACACCCTCTGGTGCTCACGCTCCACACCAGGTCACCAACAGCACCACACCCCACCAAGCCGATTCCCCACCCTCACCCAGTCCAACCTTGGACGTGTCCTCTGAGACTGCCCCACCCAGTAGCCAGGACAGCCCTTGGAGAACAACCAGCTCCTACCACTGAGGCTGTTCAGCCTCTTCCACAGGCTCGGCCCACCTCCCTCCCTTGGCTTCCCAGGCCTGAATGGTCTAACCTTGCCCTCACCTGCTCCCTACCCCCTAATGCCAGCCCCCTGCCTCGTTCCAGACACACCTCACTCGCCCCCACACTGGTGCCTTTGCCTGGACAGCCTTTGCCTCGTGTTTTCAAATCATTCAGGTCCTGTTCCAATAACCTCTCCTCAGACATACCTTACTGACGGTCTGCTTTCATGGCTGGAATATAAGCCCCATGAGGGCACGGACTTTGTTGGGTTCATCACAGAACTGTTGGCGCCTGGCAGATTTTCAGTCCGTGTTGGAAGGGTGGATGGGGAGGGAAAGGAGAGTTGGGCGGGGGGTGGCTGACTGGCTGGGGTTGGGAGGACAAATATAGTTTCCCTCCCATGGCCAGCACTGGCTTGGCTTGAGGAGTGCACAGTTGAGTCAGACGAGTAGGAATATGGCAGGGTTTCATTCTACTGTCAGAATGACCTGGATTACTGTGCACAGCGATAAAGTTCACAGCTCAGAGTGCACCTTTAGCTGTCTCTGACCTGATCAGCGTGGGTGTAGGCCAGTAGCTGAGGAGCAGCAGGGCACCTGACCCCAGACTCAGCCATGGTCACCATCCTCACAGGGTATGATCACGCCCCAGTCCGTCTGTTTAGAAATGGTGAGTTGATGATCTGAATACATTGCACGGGAAACGTGATTTTACATTTGTTCTTCCCTGGAAACCACGCTTGTTCTAAATGTGAGGCTCATTTCTGGGCTTCCCACCCCGCCTCCCACTGTCTTCCTTCGTCTTGGTTTTCCAGAGAGAAGGCAAGCCCTCAGAAGCTGGAGGAGGGAGTGTGCCCTGAATGTTATCTCCAGCAATGCTAAGTCCCAAGTCCCGATGCCAGCCTCAGGCTGTGGGGGGCTCTGCCCCTCCTCTAGAGTAATCCCTTCTGCCTAAACCTTTAATTATAGCTTTGGGGTCCAGTCAGGAATAAGACTGTGGGTCAGACGATCAATCATGCAACCTACAGTGTTTCTTTTCTCACAGAAAAGACCTGCTGTCCCCAACTACCCAGGCCTGGTTCTAAGGAAGGCCTCCTCCACCCCTTTCCAGCTTGGGGGGGGCAGGGTTATAAGGAGTGGGGGGCTACTAGATGGAAGAGGCTTTGGTGAGGGCCAGGACAGGGGGGCTGGGGACTGTGGTCCAAGGGAGAGAAATGTCCCAGGCCTCTCCCTCAAACTTCTATGCTACACCAGCTTTTGCTTTCAACCCCTTCTCATCCATTCCCACAGGCCTAACCTTTCCAACCTTTCTGAGCACAAACCGACCCTCCTTGTTTCTGTGCTTGCGTAGCTTCCGGGGGTTCTACCACCCAGTGGTGAGCTTCAGACCTCAACCAGACTGAGTTTTTAGTCCCCAGAACCACTTGTTCAAACCAAACCCTACGCAGATCCCTGCTGCCTCCAGCACACACAGATGGCATGGCCTCTCCCTTCATTGCTCTGAGGCTACACTAAGCCTCCACA